CCTCTATTTATTAGGGAAAAGACATTCGGTAGAATATTCCACCCAAATAAGGCAGGGGATAGTGTTTCAAAAGGGGGGTTGCCCAATCCCATTGGGTAACTCTCAAGCCCAGAGCTGAGGCATTTCCTTGCCAATCGGAGGTAAAGGCCACTTGCTTCCCACAGCGTGTGGCATGTGATGCCAGTCCAATACCCTCTTTACCCAAGGCTAAAGTGGGGTGCTTAGCTCATGCGCAGGGCGCCCCCGACAGTAACCATAGGCTAGTGGATAAGAGGCATGTTTAGATGGAACCTCCCCCTAGATTTTTGATACCAGAACCTTGATAGATTCTGATAGCAGATAAAGGCTGACACTATATATTTTTTGGGGGGTGGAGGGATACCAGGCATTGAACTCAGGGACACTCAACCACTAAGCCACATCCCCAGTCCTATTTTATATTTTATTTAGAGACAGGGTCTCAATGAGCCGCTTAGTGCCTTCCAGTTGCTGAGGCTGGCTTTGAACTCTCGATCCTCCTGCTTCAGCCTCCTGAGCCACTGGGATTACAGGCATGTGCCACCGTGCCCAGCGAGACTGACACTTTATTTGAGGCAAGGTTGGCAGGGAGTGCTTATTTTGAGTGAGGATGCTTTAGAGTATTTTTATTTTATTTTTATTTTATTTACAAGTCAGGCTCCTGCAAGGATTGTAGAATCTGTGTATCTGTCAGGGTGAGCACTGTCTCCATGCACAGTGGGAGACCTCCACTGTCGCCACCCCAACACAGACAAGCATCCACAAAGCCCTCACTTGAAGCCAGGTGCTAACCTCCAGACATCATACAGATCTGCTACGTAGACCTAAATCCTTGCAAGTGCCTTTAAAGTTGAGAACTAAAACATAAGCCCAAGCTAGACTCAATGTTGAAGGAATGTCAACACCCTGTTATTATCCAAATCCCAGATAATTTCTATAATAATATTGTTCATATAAAAACATTTCTTAACTTCTATGGATTACCAAATTTGGGCAGTCACAATCCAACCTACAGTTCTATGAACAGTTATAGATTGTTCAAGAATCTTCCTTAAAATTCTTCTTCTTCTTTTTTTTAAGAAGTCTTTTTCTCTCCCTCTCCATCTTTAGAAAGCATTTGCCTATGCAGAGGAAGAAGACACCCAGGAAGCAAATGACTGTTTGTTGATCTATGATGATGAAGGCGTGGCTGATGCCCCGGGTTCTCCCATAGGTTCCCTGGGTTGTTGCAGTTTTATTGCTGATGATCTGGATGACAGTTTCTTGGACTCCCTCGGCCCCAAATTTAAAAAACTTGCAGAGATAAGCCTCGGTATTGATGATGAAGCCAAACAAGCTCAGCCATGCTCTAAAGACAAGGGTTCTGGCATTGACTCCTGTGGTGGCACCATGGAAGTCCAACAGCCAGGATTTGACAGGTGCCAGACTCTGTCTGGTAGCCAAGGGATTTCTGCTTGTTCCGCTTCTGGGTCTGTCCAACCGGCCATTTCCATCCCTGACCCTCTGCAGCATGGTAACTATTTGGTAAAGGAGTCCTACTCTGCTTCTGGATCCTTTGTGCAACCTACCACTGCAATCTTTGATCCACTTCTCACTCAAAATGTAATAGTGACAGAAAGGGTGATTTGTCCCCTTTCCAGTGTTCCTGGCAACATAGCTGTCTCAACAGAGCTACGGGAGTCATGCAATATGCTCTATTCAGAAAATCCTTGCTCCCACCTATGATCAGCACATAACAGAATAACGTTCTGGAAGAATCTGAGTATTTGGACCAAATTTCTTAAAATAGCAGCAAAGCTCACTACATTGTGTGAATTTAGCATTTATTGGATACTCTGATAAACTGTTCATGATTATAATTTAAATGTTCTGGTTCGTACCTCAAATAGGATGTATCATCACTCCTAATTCTGGAATATTTTTCAAATTGAGGTAAACATTTATGTTTTTCAAAAATCTTATGATCATATTGGGTGGGAAATTTTCCTAGACACTTTTAAACGTATATGCTTTCAGTGCCAAAGAAAGGTGTTTATCACTTTGAACAGAAATGTGGTTCAGTGGATTAGCACTTGGAGTCAAGAGTCCTGATTCTTGTCTCTGTTGCCTTTTCTTATATCATTACTAATGATATAAGAACATTATTACTAATGACTTCAGAATCTCGAGGCATTTGCCAAAGCATTTTGAGCTGCTCAGAATAAAAGAAATAACTTCAGTTAAGTTTTCTTCTGTCTTTTTGGTGTTGGGAAACCATTAGTATGCATCTTTTGCTCAAGCTAACGGGCTGTGGGCTTATGCATTCAACTTGCTACATCTACAAATTCCACATATGCTCACACTAAGACAATTTTGAAATAGAAACATCATAAAATGTTTAAGAAATTCTAGTCTAGTGTAAATAATATTTTGTGTATTTTTGTATTCTTAAAAGAATCTATCAAAAAAATACTTTACATTGAACTCCCTCCTAAACACTTCTCAGTAGTAAATCCTGTGTTAATCTTTAAAATGGGTCCTTCTTTAGAAAGTGTCACTAGGTAGGTACAATTTACATATGACATATAGTGATGTTATGTAAACAGTGTCTACAGACTTTGTGGAAATACAAAACACAGCTTTTCTTATAAGCTAAAGGAGTTATGAACTAGAATAACACAAAGTGAAATTTGTGAATATGTATTATAAACAGAATTTCAGGAAAATAATTAGTGGTGTGCTTTTCTAGTAAAAAAAAGGAAGTGGAGGTGGGATTATATGTAAACTATTTTTTTAACCATTGCTTCTATATTTAACAGCTACCACAACTTAATACTTGAGTGTAGCAATGTTAGGTGAGAGAAAGTGTAGAATATATTTTACATATGTTACCCTCATGGTAATGGTATTCTTCCAGTCATTTCTATTCGTTCAAGATATTACCCCTTTACCCTACAGAGAACGCCCTACCTCACCTGCTTCCCAATGTTATTGTTTAAACGGAATCTTTACAGGGTCATTGTTCAACTTCATTATTTCTAATTGTATATAAAATACAGTTTTTTATTTTCCTGGTTTTTTTTTTTTTTTTGGTTATAATAAAACCTACATACGTTTGTCCAGATGCACTGTAAACTAACCAAGTGTTTATGGTTTAATCTAGAAGGATACAGTCTGAGAACACCCACAGGAAAGCTAAGCCCTCAATGCCGCTATCCCTATTTTTCATCCCTCTCCTTGGCACCATGACCACCAGGAAGGCCAGTGATAGCATAGTCCAGAAGCAGAAGTGCAGGCAGCCTGAGCCTCCCCATCAAGCCGCTGCTGCACTGAGGCTTTTACTGTGCAGGTCTTGAAATGAGAAGAGCTGGATCCTGTGGAGCTTCCTGCTGAGAGTTGAGAAGTTGCACTTCTTGAGCTTCTTGCTTCCCAGTGGAAGCTGACTCTGGGATTAAGAGTATGCACTAGTGACTCTGTTTATGCATGAGGGTCAAATTAGTAATCATAATGCTTATTTAAAGCTCAAAGGTATATTCAATATCCTCAAAGCTTTTTAACTTTGCCTATTAAACCCCAACACAGAAAGCATTATTAAGGTGCAGAGAAAACCAGATCATCATAGTAAAGTTTATCAAGAGAAAAATTGAAATTAAATGTTTTTAATTTTTAAAAATTATTGGTCTTTATGATGACCTAAATGTTTATTTTCTGTATAAAATGTATTTGCATTTTTTTCACCAAAAATAAAAGTTGTTTTAAACAGAAAAACAATTAAACTGTTCTTTGACTTGATGTGTTACACATTTTAAACAGTATATATTAAAACACAAGAAGTGTACCATTGTTATAATAAAACTGGCAATAAATATATGAATACTTCCTTTGCCATTTGGTAAAAGCTGAATCTCCATAATGAAGAGTTACTAAGGAATATGATGTAGAAATGGCTTGCATATGAATTTTTAATGGTATTTTACATTTTTCTTCTAGCTGATACCTTTTCTGCCTCCTCCCAGACAGAGGGAAGTATCTTGGGGCTCAGGATCATTCTGGGTGGATAAGGTGCTGGATTAGGTCAGGGCAGACAGACTTTATTAACTGGACGCTTTTGATCTTTTACGTTTATTTGGTTCTTTGGAATACTCTCCTAGGAGAAAATTGTGACATTTTAAGAAGACTCAGATGGTTGGAGTAAAGAGAAGGTAATGCTTCCAATCTACCTGGATGGAAC